GAAAATAAAAAATTTAAAACTAAAGTAGCAGAAATTATATTGTTGTTATGTGCCACTGAGTCGCCTGCAACTCATAGAGACCCTAGATACAACAGCTCTGAAGCCTGCCCTGTCCTAAGCCACTCCCACTGACTCTGACACACTGCCCCCATTGCCCCAGTTACTGTTTCAATCCATCTCATCTGGGGTCTTCCTCTCCTGCACTGTCCCTCCATTCTTCCAAGCATGATGTCCTTCTGGCCACATGCCCAAAGTATGTGAGACGGAGCTTCAAAATCCTAGCATCCAAGGAGAAACTTGGTTTCACTCTCTCCAAGACAGACCTATTTGATTTCTTGGCAGTCAATGGTGTGTTCAAAACTCTTATCCAGGCGAGCTCTGGTGGCCTAGTGGCAGGAAACTGCACTGCAATCCCAGAGGTGCGTGGTTCAAATCCACCAGATGCTCTGCTGAAGAAGGAGGAACAATCGCCTCCTGTACCAGTCAGATCTGATTTGACGGTACACACCCCCCCCACCACCCACATAAAAAAAAAAAAAAATTAAAAAAAAAAAAAAAAAAAAAAAACTCTTATCCAGCACCAGAACTCGAAGGCATCGATTCTTTAGTCATCCTTAGTCACTGTCCAGTTCTCTGATGCTTAGCAAGTACCGGCAAAGACCATGGCCTCGATAACAAGCATCTTAGTCTCTAGACTGACATCGTTGCTTTTCAGTACTCTGGAAAGGTCCCTGACAGCAGATTTACATAATGCAATCCATCTTTTGATTTCCTGAGTGCTAGTGCCAAGACCGTTGATTGTAGAGCCAAGCAAGCTGTAACTGTTAACAACCTTAATCTCTTCTCCATTCGTCATGGTGCTGCCTACTGGCCCAGTGGTGAGAATCTTTCTTTTCTTGACATTGAGCTTCAATCTATATTGAAGACTACAGTCCTTGACCTTCTGCAGCAAGCACTTCAGGTCCTCCTCAGTTTTAGCAAGCAAGGTTGAGTCATCTGCATAATATACGTGGTTGATGAGCATTCCTCCAACCCAGATGCCACATTCATCCTCATAAAGCCTGGCCTCCCAAATGATCTGTTCTGCAAATAGAGTGAAAAGGTACGGAGACAGGATGTATCCTTGGCACACTCCGTTCCTGATTTTGAACGAAGAGAGACAGCTAAATGTTGTTGTTAGGTGCTGTCAAGTACGACCCATAGCGACTATGAAAAACAGATCTGAACTCTTTTCTTATCCTGTGCCATCTTCATACTTCCTCACACAATAGAGCCTACTGCAACAGTCACTGTATCAATCTCCCTGGTTGAGGGTTTTCCTCTTTTTGCCAACCCTCTGAACACTGCCTGACCTCGTGCTATCCTCATGATGACATCTAAACAGAGAGACATAAAAGTATAAACGATTTAAGATCAAATGGTTGTGGAATTATAATCTAGCCTGAGAGACCAAATCCCCATCTATTAAAAAAGAAAAGAAAAAAGACCAAGAAGGGGGAAACATAAGAAAATTAAACTGCTGAAGGTGTTCAAAGGTAAGATGGCTTTCAAAAAATAAGATTAAGTTCTAGTGTGAAAAACAATGTATACAAACTTTGAAAGTAAACTAGTATAAAATTAGAATTTAAAAAAAGTTCTTAAAGTTTATCAAGGAGTTTTCCAAAGAACTAGAGCTAAAAAAAAGGGAAATTTTTTTAGTTATTGAGGGAAAAACAGGTTAATTTAAGAACTATTAGCAATGTCTCAAGGAGATGGATTATCCTGTGACAGTGAGTTCAAAGCACAAAACAGATCGAGAAGACAGCGTAGGATCAGGGTGTGTCTTCCTCCACTGTGCAGAGCTGACTCAAAGGTACTTCACAACAGTCAGTCCACTGTCACGGAGCCAGAATCAGAGACTAGGTTCTCCATGGGATGCAAACTGCATGGGAGGACACTTCCTATCTCTAGAGCTGCTGGTGGATTCGAACAGCCAGAGAGGTGCCGTCTTTGGCTCAGAAGCACAGCTCCCTATGCACAGGCCACTAGAGTTCCCTATGTCCAAAGACATAAGTCTCAAGTGCAACAGTACACAAATAGACCAATAAAATGCTAAAAACAATAAAATATTAGAGCTAAAAAAAGAAACTCTAATAAGCCTTAGCTACAACTACCATATCTATGCATCTAGACGATTGCATGTAATTTTAGTCACAGACAGACAGAAGATAGCAAAACTAAAAAGCTAGATTCGGGTCATGGTGTTGTCTTATGGGAACTCAAAGAAAGAACTCGTTCCTCTCAAGAAGAAAATGACTTCACTTTCTTTCTTCCTGGTTAGGACCTATCTTAACATCATGTACACACACACAACCCCATTTCCATAAACACATCCTTTTAAGAGCCCAATTCAAATTAATCTTTAAAAAAATCCAAAATTTATTTAAGAATATTAGTAATTCATACATGGCATTGTTTGTGATTTTAACACTATTTTTTAAACTTTATTTTAAAATAATTTTATGACTCATAGAGAAGCTGCAAAAATTGTAGAGCTCTCATGTACTATACTCTACACCTGGCTTTCCCCAATGGTAGCATCTGATACAACCAGAACATAATGATCAAAACTGAGACGGTGACATTAGTACATTATTGGGAACTAAATGGCCTTAAATGTCAGAAGGCTTTTTTACATGCAGTTATTTGTGTGTCTGTGCAGTTTTACAAACTTTTATCGCACGTACAGATTTGTAACTCACTGGAGAGCTCTGACGGACATTCTGTCTATAGGGAGCTGCACTGCTAAATCAAAGGCAGTGCCTCTCTGGCTGTTCAAATCTAGCAGTGGGTCCGAGAGAGAAAGATGAACAAGCTCCTGTGAAATTTACAGCTTCTGAAAACCCACTGGAGGGGGTTTGAGTCAGCTATTAGTCAGTTTTGACTTGAAGGTCATGAGTTTTAGTTGAATACAGATTTGTAAAACCACTACCACAATCAGGATATAGAACTGATGCAATATCTTAAAGACATTCCTACATGCTACCCTTTATAAAATTACTCTCAATTCCAATCCAATAATCCTTTAATAACAATAATCAATCTGGTTCTTCATCACTGTAATTCCATCATTACAAGAATGTGACATAAATGGGATCATATCACATGCAAACTTTTTAAATGTGTTTTCCATTCAGTTTAATTTTATTAGGTTGATGAACAGTTTTGTTCCTTTTAAAATATTGATTATATGGATATAATAACTTATCCATTCCCCCATCAAAGGACATATGGATTTTTTCCAGTTTTTTGCTTTCACAAATAAAGGTGCTATGAATTTTTGCTTTCACAAATAAAGGTGCTATGACTATTTGTGTCAAGTATCATCTTATATTCCTATCAGCTTTGGATGAGGGATCCTTTTGCTCTGCATTCTGTGTTGTCTGTAATTTTCAGTCATCGTAGTAACACTGCAGTGGTATAAAACACGCATTTCTGTGCTAGAAATTTCCCACTAAGCACTCTTTTAGCTATGTCCCACAGTTTATACTTTTTTAATAGACTGCATTTTTCTTTTTATTTAGTTTAATATCTTTTAAAAATTTCTTGTGCAACTTTTTTGTTTAATTTCCAAGTTTGAGGCGATTTCTCTATTCCTATAAGGCTTCTTTTCATCTAACCCAACTCTTTTAATAAAAGAATAATATTATAATACAACAATTTGATCATTATTCTAAAAGGATGTTATATTTTTAAAGAATTAATATTTCTACAGCATTCTTCTGAGAAAATTTTCCCATCTTCCCTGGTTGGCCCAATTTTTAGATTATTTCTCAAATAATAAATAGCCCATAAATGTTAACTTTTTCTTTGGCAATGACTCAGTAGATATAAAATGTTAATTTTTGCTTTTTCTACTAGGCATTTCTTAGTTTTCATCTCACCTCTCTTCTTATTTAGGTAGAATGGATTAGGTTCTTACATCCCACCAAATGTTGTCACAGCACATTTAGCTTATAGTTTCTCTCCTCTCATTCAATTATAAACCAGAAGTGCAAAACTGCATTATCATTCATCCTTATATTTCCAATGTCAAGCACTATGTCTAGTCAAAAACTCTTGAATAAATGACAAGAATCTAAGTCGCCTGAATGAAATTCATTACTTCCAGCCCTTTTCTTAAGGTACATAAAGGCATAATAGTGACTCTGGCTATATAAATATATAAAGACATAATACTGACTCTTAATTGACTCTTGATCTCAAAAAGAACAGTACTGGAAGCTAGATATACCTCTAACACAAGTAAAAATTAGTCCTAAACTTTAGCCAAATAATTTATTTTGTTCAAAAAGGCATTTTTCAAAGTACCTTTAAAAACAACTTTCAAAGTGGTTTCAATTTATCTTAAAACAGATTCCATGTGTTTCACTGATGACAAGTAGTCATCATTCATTTCTCTCATCCTACACAATAGATGACAATTTATATATATCACACACTCCCTCAGGCAAAGCTATGGATAATACCTTTTACACTACTAACCCCTACTCTCCCAACTAAAAAAATACTTTAAAATGAAAATGAGCGAGAGCAATGTTATTTTTGTGGTACTAACTTTGGATTCAGTCTTACACTTGGTGAGAACTGAAATTATGGAAACTTACATTCAAGTCTCTTGGTACAGAGTAATAAAGGTTATTTATTACCACAAAAAATTTCTATTCTTTTCCATGGGCAGGTCACATGAAGATATTTTCTTCACTAACTGCATAAAACCAGTATTATTTACATTCAACTGTTAGGCTGTAGCTATTATCATTAAGGTTAACTGAGAGTCAAAATTGGGACTAATAGGTCTACTACAATCATAAGGCAGTAACCATGTCATGGGAATAGAAAGCTGTATACCTACCTTGCTACACACTAGCTGATAAGTACAGACCAACAAAGATTTTTTTAAGTCTATATAGACTAATACTGGAAGTAATTTCTGGTCAGTTTTTATAATGCTTACTTACCAATAGACATGTCCCAACAATGAGAGTGTAAAACAAGCTGAATCACCAAACTCCGTAACAATATCATCATGGCTTTTCTGTTTATTTAATACTCCACCAGATAAAATCTGTTCCCCTTCTGCAAGCCTTTAAAAGACAAATTTATAGATTTCAAAAAAATCAATATAAAGCAGTGTGTGTAAAGATACCTTTCACTGTCAATGTACTTCAAAATTATGGCAATAAAGTAAAAAGTTCATGGTGCATTTAGAAAAGTGTAAACATGCATTTAGAACCTCTTAAAAGGATGGGAAACTTTAATCTTAAAACTCTAGTCTTGCTTTTAAAAATAGAACCAGATAAATTTCGTTTTATTGCATATAAATCTAGTCGGAGGACATGTGATTTTCCATTTTAAAATGCGGTGGTCTTTTTCTTAGTTCTAGAACTTTTGAAATTAGGAATCTAAGCATACTAAACAAGACTAACACATCTTAATTACCACTTACATACTTAGTGGCTTAATAATTTTGTGTGTGTGTGTTTTTTAACAGTTTATATTATTATATTCAAAGCTTTTTTTGTGAACTTTTTTCTTTCTTAAAATTATTATTAATTTTAATAAACATTTACAGAGGTTTTGGATTTTCATTCATTCATTGGGCTTAATAATTTTAGAGCTTTTTACAAATAAAGTTTGAACAGCACTTTCTTTCTTTTTATGTTAATTCTCTTTTTGACATAGAAAATAACATACTAGTTCCCAAATTTAAAACATGTGGCTGATTTCTGTGATGTACTTTCAGTCCAATGGAACCTATACTGATCACCATGTGTAAAAGCTCTCAAGAAAGTTTATGCAGCTTATCCTGAACATAAAGTTATATGTATCTAGTTCTTTTAGTCTTTTACCTTTGCTTTTAAAAAAACAAAGAACTATAAACATTTATACATGTAAATGGTAAGAATGTTTTAATAAGAATTGACTTGAGAAACTGACAGATAAGAAAGCATACACTTAAGACTTTAGAATCAGAATCCTAATATTAACCTTCTCAGTATCCTTACAGATATTTTAGCTATATTTATTTTAAAAGTCATCAGTCACTGGGCAAATTCTTTTTCTGTTCATAAACACTATATCTTCTCATTGTGAACCTAAAAATATATACATATATGCATTTAGAAATACCTCATTACTTAGAAACTTTTACCACTATGCAATTTCACACAGCCTATTAAAAGTTTGAGAGTGTAACTCTATTCTAGCTGCGTATTTCTGAATAATGGCAGCTGACTTGGCCTAGCAGTAATGTGTAAAAGAAATGCTCCCTTGAAACCTTCTCCAAGCTAAATGAAAAGTGCTTCCTTCAAAAAAATAATCCTGAAAGGAAACTACACAATATAGTAGACACTGTCAAACCCCCAAAACCCCCAGTGCTGCTGAGTCAATTCTGACCCCTGGTGACCTTGCGGGACAGAGGAGAAATGGCCCACATAGGGCTTCCAAGGCTAGAAATCTTTACAGAAACAGACAGCTACATATCTTCTGCAGAGTGGCAAGCAGACTCTAACTACCCATCTTCTGGTTAGTGGTTGAACACTTTAACCACAGTGCCACCAACCCCTTCAGATACTGAAAGCAAATGAAAGGAAACATCATTTGTAACCATTATAAATTTCATCAACCCCTGGGGATTAGTTACAAATGTCCCCCAGAGTTTAATTTTATGATTATTTTAACTATGAAATTGCTCCATAACAAAATAGATTTTGACAACAATGTAACTATTTCAAAACCATTACTAAGTAGACAAATTTACTATTAAGGGAAGATAAGGAGTCAACTGCAGTATAAGGTCTAAAAAGAACTTGATCCAATATTCTACAGTGCAAGTAGAACAAAATCTGCTAGAAAAGACTAGAAACTTACTTGCTGAGATCAACACAACATTTTGCAAGCAGGTATTTACACTGCGGCGTAGTACAACTGTGTCCTTTCAAGAGTCTATATGCTTTATATGCCTTTCCTGAGCGGTAGTAACAGGTTGCCAGTAAAAACAAGGCTTCTTCAGAGTGCACTAAGAACACATATATATAAAAAGAAAAATTGTCTATTATTCAGTATGTTCAGTAGTAATCAGAATTTATTTGGTAGTAAACAAGTTTAGCAACAACAAATAAAATATCTTATTTAAAACAAAACAACCATTTATTAATTAAAATTTGAATTAAGGAGAACCACACTTTGTTGGTAGCAAAGTTAAGGTACCCATTTCCTGATTACTTGCTCCCTATGAGGAAACATGGAAATAAAAGACATGGTATTTTATATCAAGTCCTTACAAACAACAACAACAAAAACCAAACCACCAAAACTTTAAATAGATTTTAAAAACCTACTGAATCATTAAGTCAACTGAAACTCATACCTATGTTTTCATAACCATAGGATGTCCATGGCTGTAATGTTTACACTAGTACATATTTACTATGTCACATCTTTTCAATGCATATCAGCTAGTGAATTTGAATGGCCACCTTTTCAAGCAGCACCTGACCACTTTAAACACTGCATTACTAGGAATCCTTTCAAACAGACTATTAGGTAAAGAATCTTGGGTTCTGGGTTTTTAAAAAAATTTTATTATTTTGTGTGTGTGTACCATTAAATCAGATCTGACTGAGGAGATTGTCCCTCTTTCTCCAGCACAGCATCTGGTGGATTCGAACTGCATACCTCTGAGATTGCAGTGCAGCTTCTTGCCACTAGGCCACCAGAGCTCCCTAGAATCTTAGTTTTTACGTCATATTTTTCTGATAAAGCCTTTGGCAGAATACTTTTGTTGTGATTAGGTACTGTTGAGTTGGAACTGACTCAGAGCTGACCCTGAAGGGGTTTTCAAAAGCAGTGAATTGCATGGGAGGAGACTGTCCATCTTTTTTATGGCAGATCAGCTGGTGGATTTGAGCTGTGTGCCCTTGAGTTGGTAGCATAGGTCCTTACTATTAGGCCACCATAACTTCAAAATGGAAACTAAATTTCATTAGAGAAGGGAACAGTTACAAATGTTATTATTGATCTGAATAATTTTTACTTCACAGAAGAGGCTTGAGTATTTTTTCTAGTACCTAATATACACTAACTAATAATGAGAAGAAAAAAATTTTATTGTGAGCATCAGTATTATTTTAACATTCAGTTGACAGACTTAACATTTATACAATAATACTGCTCCTCCAATGGTCAACTTCCACATCTTCCTGAAATGGTAAATTTACTCAAAGAGTTGAGCTAAAGTTTTTTTTTTTAAAGTAAAATTTTGTTCTTGTTTTTCATCATATTTTCAAGTAAAAGTAAAGTAAACCCTTCTACTGAGTCATCCTGTGGTTATTTAAATGAAATTGTAGCATTTGTTTTTCATCATATTTTCAAGTAAAAGTAAAGTAAACCCTTCTACTGAGTCATCCTGTGGTTATTTAAATGAAATTGTAGCATTAAAAATTTTGTTGTTAAGGGAGCTCTGGTGGCCTGGTGGCAAGAAGCTGCACGGCAATCCCAGAGGTAAAAAGCTCAAATCCACCAGATGCTCTGCTCGAGAAGGAGTGGCAATCTTCTCCTGTACCAGTCAGATCCGATTTGACGGCACACACACAAACACACACAAATTTTTTAAGTATTTTTAAAAAAAAATTTGTTGTTAAAAAAAATGCTATAGTATACCATCGAGTCAGTACCAGCTCATAGCTGACCCTTCAATGGGTTTTCAGAGGCAGTAAATTGCATGAGAGGAGACTGCTCATCCTTTCTCATGGAACAGCTAGTGGGGATTTGAACTCTGTGTCTTTGGGATTGTAGTGCAACTTCTGACCACTAGGCCACCTGAGCTATGTAATAAATGATAACAAATCTTGGTATTGTAGTGTTAGAAATACAAAAATAGTAGAATAATAAGCAGAAGGCTTGCGTGCAGTAGGACCAGATTTGTTCATTTTACTGAGACACATGTTACTCTTAGCTTCAATGTTAACAATAATGAGAAAGTGAGATTTCTTGTAGATTTTGCAGTTTTATTTCTTCTTAGAAATTAATTTTTAGGAAACTATTTATTATGCTTATAAACAACGGTTACCTAAAATTAATTTTTCAGTTACAATAATACTTTATCAAATATTTTTGCTTAAAAAATGATTATGTCTAAGGCCAATTGGTAGCACCATGATAGATAAGAACAAGAATGAGGTTGTAATAATTTCAGCTTGCTCGGCTCCAAAATCAACACTCTTGGCACCAGTGGTCAGGAAATCAAATGGCAAATTGTACTGGGAAAATCTGTAGTTAGGGATCTCTCCAAAGTACTGAGAAGCAACAATGTCAACTCTAAAGACTAAGGTGTGCCTAATTCAGGTCATGATCTTTGCAATTACTTGCGATGCATCAGAGAGCTGGGCAATAACTAATGATGAAAGAAGAATCAATGCCTTTCGGTTGTGATGCCAGAGAAGAGTCCTGAACATTTTATGGACTGCCAAGATACAAACAGGTCTGTCTTGGAGAGGGAGAAACTTGTAGGCTAGCATCCTGAAGCTCCATCTCACATACTTAGGGCACATGGCCAGGAGGGATCGGTCCTTAGAGAAGGATATCATGCTCAGAAGGGTGGAGGGACAATACAGGATAGGAAGACCCTAGATGAGAAGGATTGACACAGGAACTGGGATAATGGAGGTAGGCGTGTTAGAGTCAGTGAGACTGGCTCAGGGTAGGGAAGGCTTCAGAGCTGTTGTATACAGGGTCACTATGAGTTACAGGTGACTTGATGGCACATAACGACAAGCTAATTTTTCATTGCAGTAAAATTCCCTACTTAAATAATGGTGAAATATACTGTCTGTGATTTTACAGTCATGCAATGATTACCATTTTGAAGTGTAGTAATTTAAAAGGTTGTTAAAGAACTTTTTAAAAAAACTATTGCCATTAATAGTCACAAATTTCTGTGTTTGGATTTCTAATATCATGGCTAAGACAAAAAAAGAGATTTAGATGTTGTCTCTGTTAGCCCAGTGTGGTTCTTTTCTGAGCCAAGCTTTATTTGCTGAAATTGACATAACCAAAGCAATCTCTACATCAGGCCCATTTATCATTAAATAGACAGGTGAAAAACTGATGAGTGATTTTATGGTAAGTTATACTATGTTCATATTAAAAGAGGAACATTTTATATTTATATAAAATGTAAAACCTACATTAAAAATAAAAAATCTGGATTTCCAACAATTTTGAGTTCTGGATTCAAACTCACTGATTTGTCCAAGTTAACCGATTGAATTTCATACTGTTGAGTTGGAAGTGACTCATAGCTGACCCTCCAGTGGGTTTTCAGAATTGAGACGGCATCAGGAGATTGCCTATCTTTCTTCTGTGGAGGTTTCTGTGGTAGCTGGTGGATTTGAACCACTTGCCTTTTGGTTGGCACCTCAACTCCTTACCCAGATCTCCTTGGTTAAATAATTAGTAGTAGAGAAAAGCCTTGGGAAGCGGAATCTCGTAGCAGTAAAGAAAAATATTATGTACTTACAATGAAGGAAAAAGTATGCAGGTAGACGATAAGATCAGAACATGGCTTGTTCCAGTGAACTCACATCATTAATAGAGTAGGAAATAAATTTGACGGGTAGCAAGTTACATTAAAAACAAAACAAACAGTAAGGGCAAAAAAGTCTGAGAAACCACTATAAAAAGCCATGCTTAAGGCTCTCTCTGATGGTCTAGTGGCAAGAAGCTGCACTGCAATCCCAGAGGCATGCAGTTTGAATCCACCAGATGCTCTGCTGGAGAAGGAGGGACAATCTCCTCCTGCACCAGTCAAATCTAATTTGACAGTACACGTATACAAAATAATAAAAATTTTAAAAAGCTATGCTAAGGGACAGGACAGAGGCAACTTGTAAAGAACTTCCTACACATGCCAACAATCATAGCTGACAATGTATACTGAGTGTATAATTAGTGATATTTAGTCCTTAAAGCAATCTTTTTTCCTCACTTTGATGAAAAAAATTAAGAATCAGAATAATTTCTTGCCTAAAATAAAACAGCTACTGAATATCTCATTATCATTCTGTTTACCTTTCTCTTATACTAGATTTCTTAGGAGAAAGAAAAATGTATCATAAACAATTAATGAAGAAATTATTTCAAGAATTTGACTTCTGGAAGATGCTACTCATTGACTTATTAGCCTTGTACTCTGTGGTAGATATCTTTCTTAGAAATATAGGGAACTGCTACCAGTAGTGGCATAGGAGGCTACCTAAGAGGGTATATCTAGCATACCAACTCTGATGAACTATTCTTGTCAACCTGGAGCACTATATTGATAAGAACTCTGAGTAGGGAAGAATTCTGATGATTTAGCAATGCTTAGTATCGATAAAGGAATGGTAGGTATTTGCTATCCTTGGTAAAATGGAATCTGAAGATCTACCACTTACTGATCATGGACAGTGATAAGTAGGTTAACTGGGCAAAAGGTAATGTGTGGTTGATCATCCCCTTTGACTTGGAAATTGTATTTTAGAATATACAATTCGGTGAAATGACTCAAATGAAAAAAAAAGCAGTACACAATTAATTGTTAGCAACTTCTTATAAAGATAATCACAATAATTTAAGGACAGAAACAAAACATATATTAACAGATGTTTACTAAGCATTTATTACTATGCCAGAAAACTAAGTATTTTACATATATTATATCATTTAGTTTTCAATTGTCCTACAAAGAAATTTCTATTTTATAGATGAAAAATCTAACATACTTAGAGATTAAGTAATTTGTGCAAGGTTTCACAGCTGTGTAAATTAAGTGACCAGGTTAGGATTTGGACTAAGGTCACTAAATCCATGCTTTAGTCACAAAACAAATGTGGTTTCAATGAAATACTTGGGGGAAAAGATCTGAAGAATAGAAAATGATTAAGTTAACTCTACAGTTACTAAAATCACATAGGAGAGAACTATAGGTAAAATTGTTTCTGTGGGTTTTTAAACTTTATTGTAATTTGACAGAAGTAGCTTTTATGGGAGAAAAGCATAAAGAAAAGAACAAGAATCAAATTACAATTAAGAGTAATGAAGATCAAAAGAACACTCAGAATCTTATGGTTGTAAAATACGATGAAATTCTATACGTATTATTATTCATTTACATAGTTCTAAAACAATGAATAGATTGCATACCTTCTGCATACAGTCTTTCTGCGAGGAAAACTGCATCTCGGTATGCATAGTGGTTTAGTGCCTGCCATATAGCAGCCTGTAAGGAGGAAAAAAGAACATTAAGTATGTGGTTGTTTGCTGTGTAGCAGACTCTCAGCAACCTACAGGACAGAGTAGAGCTTACACAAGGGGTTTCCCATGCTGTCATTAAAAAATAATTCTATATTGGGGTCAGCAAACCATAGCCAGTTGACCAAATTTAGCCTGCTGTCTAGTTTGATAGGAGCTACATTTATTAATTTATGTATTGTCTATGGCTAGTTATTAAGAGTGGGGTCAAGCACCTTTGACAAAAACTCACCATTACCACACTTCTTTTAAAATTATGTTTACTACACCATAGGATTTTGGCAGCCTCCTCCTTAGGGAGTTGCACTGCTAATTCAAAGGCTGCACATTTCTGGTAGTTTGAGCTGCTCTGAGGAAAAAAGAAAGGCAATTTATAGCCTCAGAAACGGAACTGGAAGACCAGTTAATACCAAGAGGATCTGTTCAGGAGGTTTGCTAATTCCCAGGATTGTTCTTCCAATTGAGCTAGCTAAAACTCCCCAAAATCCACAAAACCAAAACCAAGAACCAAATAAGAAGTGGAAATGAGAAATACCAATAAAGTATTTCACCATATGTGCTGTGGCTAACTTTTCCATAGGCCACCAGCCAAGGGTTCTGAGGTTCTTATTCCTTACCTATAATAATGGTTGGCTACATTTTAAAATTTTTTTTTTTAAATTTTATTATTTGTGTGTGTGTGTGTACCATCAAATCGGATCTGACTAGTACAGGAGATTGTCCCTCCTTCTCCAGCAGCATCTGGTGGATTCAAACCACACTCGTTGGCTACTTTTGAAACCATAGTCTGACGGAGATACTAACAACATAGCTATTTAATAAAATACAATAAACCCAAACCCACTGCTGTTGAGTCAATTCTGATTCATAGAGATCATGCAGGATAGAGCAGAACTGTCTTCTAGGGTTTCCAAGGCTGTGAATTTTGCAGAAACTGTCAATTATTCTTCCCAGAGCAGCTGGCAGATTTGAACTGCTGGCCTGGTTATTAGCCAACTGCTTAACTACTGCACCATGAGTGCTCCTATTTTGAATACAAAAGTATACAATTATTGGTGAAGAAATCTAGGGGCATACATTAATAGTGTGTGTCTTTCTACCTGTGTACATATGAACTCATTAACTCCAAACCAACCCACTGTCATGAATTTGAGCCTCCTTCCTAGGTCACCACGGTGCATGCTGGTGACATAGGTGGATGTATATATAACGTGGCATGAGTACCCCCCCCCCCACACACACACACACACACACACAGAGTTCTGGTGGTCTAGTCCTTAGATGTGCTGCTTACAAACTCCAAAAGCTCCATGTTTCTGGCTGTTTGAATCCACCAGTTGATCTAAGTGAGAAAGATGCAGGCTCCTCTCATTGCTCACAGTGACTGGATGATGAAGGTTCAAGCCATGAGTCAGTTCCAACTTGATGACTGTTGCTGTGTACCACTGAATCGGAACCAACCCACAGCTGGCCCTCCAGCAGGTTATCAGAGGCAGTAAATTCCACAGAAGCTGATTGCTCATCATTTTCTAGTGGAGCAACTGGTATATTCAAACCCAGCTCCTTACAACTATACCATCACAAGATATACATACATACATGTGTGTATGTGTGTATATACACATGCATACCTAAATGTATGAATTTTTTTTGTTGGTTTTTTTTGTTGTTGTTTTTTACTGACCTCAGCATTACTTGCCATGAATGAAAAATGGGCAATGGGCAGGGATGGAGATCTTGGAAATTGGAGCACTTTAGCACTCATTCAGGGAACTCTGGTGGCCTAGAGGTAAGAAGCTGCACTTTAATCCTGAAGGCATGAGGTTTGAGGCAACCAGCTGCTCTGTGGGAGAAGGATGGGTCACCTCCTCCCGTGTGATAAACTGCCTCTAAAAATCCACTGGCGGATCAGCTATGGTTCGGTTCTGATTCTACGGTAAACAGCAACAACAAGAACAGCACTCATCCATTCAATAACTGTCTACTGAATGCCTACTGTTACGTTCTAGAAGTACAGCAATAAATGAACAGTAGCTTCTACTCTCATAGAGTTCACTTGAGAGTTACTCCTATCCAGAAGCATGGTTCTCAACCTTGGCTTTCAGTGCTTAACAACAGATTCACTGAAATATAATCCCTGGAAAGAGTTTAATTTACGAATCTTTTCAGACCCCCTCCCTCCATTTTGTCTTTCAAGGAGGGAGATCCATGCCTGTGGGAATGTTATTTTCTAATAAATCTATCTTTACTATTTTATCCTAAAAAAAGAAATCCAGAGGTAACAAGAGAAGTGGCTTAGGATTGGTTCTAACAACTCTAAGTTTTCTAGATATGTGGTTCTTGCCCGTCTCAAAGCACATTCTTTTGTAAAACTTATAAAAGCTTATGGATCTTTCACATAAAAAAAAGATTTACACACACAGTTTTCAGAGTTCACCTGGTTCATTAAAAATCACTGCTCTAAACCAGAAGTTGATTAGGCATTGTAATTAATTAATTAATAGTAATTACTGTTATAAAACAAAATATCTATGGATTAGTGCATGAATAACAAGATTTGTAAAACTTCACTGAAATAACGTGTGTATATATGTTGTTGCTAGATGTCATCAAGTAGACTATGACCACAATAACCTCATGAACAACTGATCTGAATGTTGCTCTATCCTGCACCATCATCTGCTGTCAAAGACTTCTCTAGAGCACTAAATAGTAAGCATGTCAGTTTAAAGACTAAGATGTACCAATTCAAGTCATGGTATTTTCAATTGCCTCATGTGCATCTGAAAGTCGAACAATGAATAAGAATGATAGAAGAAGAATTGATGTCTTTGAATTGAAGTGCTGGAGAAAAGTACTGACTGGTTTCATGGACTGCCAAAAGAACAAACAAGTTTGTCTTGAAGGAAATGCAATCAGGGTTCTCCTTAGGGGCAAAGATGGTAAAACTTCATCTCACATACATCCAAGCATGTTACCAGGAGGGACCAGTTCTCGGAAAAAGGTATCATGCTGGAAAGATATAGGGTCAAAGAAAGAGAGGAAGACCTTCAACAAGATGACTGTAACAATGGTTTTAAGTATATAAGAAAGTGTGACATTGGCCTGGCAAGCTCTGATGGCCTAGTGGTAAGAAGTTGCACTGCAAGTCCAGAGGTGCGAGGTTTGAATCCACCAGATGCTCTGCTGGAGAAGAAGGGACAGTCTCCCCCTGTACCAGTCAGATCTGATTTGACGGCGTGTGCACACGCGCACCCCCCCCCCCCACACCCACTGTGACATTGTGTACGAGTGTACAAAAAAAATCACTGGTCTACCTATATGTCAGCCACTAAACTGGGAACTGATGGGCAATAAATGTTTAATAAATATCTGTGGAACAGAATTGAGATACTTAAAAGAACAAGGCAAGTTACTGACCAAGAAAGATATAGATCTATTTTGAATTAAACAGGCTCTAGTGGTGCAATGATTAAGTACTCAGCAGCTAAGTTAAAGGTTGGCAATTTGAACCTTAGATTTCATGGGAGAAAAGACTTGGTGATGTGTTCCCATAAGATTATTATTGCCGTGGAAACCGTATTGGGCACTTCTATACTCTGTCCTACACAGTCAATATGAATCAGAAATGACTTGGTGGCACACAATAGTCACAATAACATCTCTAGGAAGAAACATCAGAGATTGACTTTTTAAAAAAAATCAGTCAGTGAAAACTCTGTGCTGTCGTTGTGGGATAGATATGTTTATAACTGTACTTACAATGACTACAAAAAAAAGAAAAAGAGAGCAAAGGGTAGCTGCTGATGTATTAACTAACAACCTCACAGAAATTGGTTCTTTCTTTGAAAGTCATCCCAGTTTATCAGCCTAATAAAGTGCTTCTGTTTTACCTACTAGCTCATTATGTCCCCTGGGGACTTTAAAGCTTGTTAAGTGTTCATCCAAAGCAAGGCAATGGTCCCTTTTTGTCTAGAGCAACAGAAGCATTATAGTTAGGAATGTTTTTGTTGATTACCGTCAAGAAACCAAAACCCACAGCTGACCTCCAGAGGGTTATCAGAGTCAGTAAATTATAAGGGGAAAAGAAGACTGCTCATCTTAGGCAGAGCAGCTTATGGATTTGAACCACATACTTTTGGGTTGATAGGAAAATTCCTGACCACTAAGCCACCATAGCTCCTCATAATTAGAAATAAGAGGATATGTAACACATGGCTTACTGTCTCCATACACAACTGTCTCCTTTGTCATGGTACCAGAAGTAATGGATGATGACTGGCTATTATTACTCAACATTTTGATCTAAGGTTCTAGAAAAGAATCCAGATCAAAAAGAAACTACTCAAATGTGCATGGTCTCCAGACTTTCTGTAGCCAAGTGTGCTGACAAATTTTTGAAACACTCTTTAAAACATACACCAGTAAAAAAATCTCTTTGAAAATGGTTTTTTCTTCTTTATTTTTGTGTACGTATCTAGCAAAATTTACCTCTGTTGCCCTAACCTTATGTGCTTCTCCCAGTTTCTTCCTTTGCCTTGATTTCCTTGAAAGTTTCTTAAAACCAAACAAGAGTTTAGCTTTACTATACTAAAGTTCACCTTTGTGGGGAGCTCTGGAGGCCTAGTCCACAGGAATTGCATGGCTAACCCAAAGCCCATTCCTCTCCAGTGGATCAAATCTACCAGATAGCTGCTCCACAGGAGAAAAATGAGCAATTTCTAACCATGCAATTTACAGCCCTGGAAACTCAACAGGGTCAGTTAAGAGTTGGTTCCATGTCAAAAAAAGTGTTTTATTGTTGCTATTTATAATTTAAAGTTTATATTAATAAAAGGCATATTACTTGGGAAAAAAAAGAGTTGGTTCCAACTTGATGGTCATGAGAGAACACTAAGCTCTTTAAAGAATTAACAATACTGATTCAAAGTGACAAGAGCAACTTGAAAGAATAGGAATTTTAGGATA